GGAGGAGAGACTTCACAGGGAGCTCCCATTTCTCGTTCAGCCTCTCTTCCCTCCCCTTGCTCCCTACCAGGCCAAGCTTTGTTCCACACTGCCCTTAACTCACAGCCCTCATGGCACTTCTGTATCACTAGTCTGGAGATGCCTTATAAAATGGGTGATGGGCAGGGATGGAGGGAGTAGAGAGAGCCTGATTGTCAGAGAGAGAAAGATTCTTGCTATCCTGATAGAGTTCTGGTTTTATTTTCTAATGGAAACATTGTTATAGTATCAGTTAAATAGAAATCTGCAGGCTCCCTGGAAACTTTGTACCCATTTGTAACATTGATTCTCTAGGGCAGAAAAAAGGCAACCCCAATTGTAGACAACTTTGGAAACAACTTTTCTCTTTGGCAACTCCTTTCACAGGACTAATTTTTTATTTGGGTCAAAGACAGACAAGAGGATTATAATGAATGACTCCGTTTTTCTTTTCCATTAGCAGAGGAAACACTGACATCTATGCAGAGACCCCTTTTTCAGTATACTCAGGAGAAGCTTACATCGTCTCAAATGAACACATTATCCTACTTTTAGTGGAATCTGGGAATGTATATGTCTGTGTGTTCAGTTCCCTGGGCTCACAAGCACACACCAGCACATCCTCAATTGCAGAGAGCCATCCCTCCATGTCCCTCTGCCACCTTTACTCTTTCCTCCATACCTGATAAGAGTCCAATCTGAGATTCAGGAACCCACCTTCCAATGCATTTCATGGACCTGTCTGTAGCTTAGTCCTGGGGGACTAGGGGACTCATGACCAACTGAAGTGGTCATGAAATTATGCTCCAGTTGAAGAGTGAAGAGAGGCTGCTGTCTGCATTGCCCTAGGCTCTTGGCCTTTTGGACCTTCATCTCTGTGGATGGAGATGCTGGAACAACTCATTCAAAGTTCAGCATCTAGTTAGTGCCCTTATTTCAGGCTACCAGCATCATTCATTCATTCATTCATTCATCCTATATCTTATATTGCTAGAATATAAAAGTTGGGATGGCTTGAGATGAAGTAGGAGAGACCGTTAAGGGCTGACCATTTCATTTCCTGACACATCTTCCTTCTCACACTCTTTGCACCCTGGTGATCCTCCTGGAGCAGGAAGTTACTTCTCTCTTGGTGCTTTCCAGATTCTCTCCATCTTTGGCTTTAGCTAGTTTGATTATGATGAATCTCTGTGAGTTTATCCTAGTTGGAATTTATTGAACTTCTTGAATGTCTAGGTTATTATTTTTCTATCAATTTTAAAAATAAAATTAGAAAGTTTTAGCCATTATATTTTCAAATATTCTTCCTGTATTTTTCTCTCTCCTCTCCTCCTGGAACTCCCATTATGTGTCTGTTGATATTCTAAATGGTGTCCCAAAGATTTCTAAGCTCTGCTCATATTTTTTATTCTTTTTCCTTTATGTCTCTCAATTGACAGCCTTCAAGTACTAATTCTTTCTTCTGCCAGATCAATCCTGCTGTTGTACCCCTCTTAAAATATTTTTCATTTCAGTTACTGTACATTTCAATTATAGAATTTTTATTTGGTTTTGTGTGTATGTGTGATTGCTGTCTCTTTACTGATACTCTCTTTTTGTTGCTTTCATATTTTCCTTTAATTTTGGGATCATGATTTTGTCTTTGTCTAGTAAATTCAACACTTTATTTTCTCATGGACATTCTATTGGCCTGTGTTCTTTCCCATTTCTTTATGTGTCTCATAACATTTTGTTTAAAACTAGATATTTTAAATAATTAATGTGGCAATTCTGGAAATCATATTTCCCTTCACCCCAGAGTTTGTTGTTGCTTTTTGTTTGTTTAGTGACTGTCTTGGAATAATTCCATAAAGTCTGTATTCTCTGTCACTTCAAGCCACTTAAATCCTCGCTTGGTTAGCTTAATGACTTGCTAGCAATTAGATAAAATATATTCTCAAATGCTGGAACCAGTATGCCTCCGGATCTTTATGGAGAAGCTGTGTATGAATGCTGACCCACATTCTCAGTGCTCAGGCAGGCAATTTACAACTCTGCCTTACCCATCATTTCTTGTTTGCTCTAGGCCTCAAGGTCAGCCGGAAGTGAGAGATTATGTGTGTGTCCTTTTAGAGTCTCAGGAATATGTCAGATCTTTCCAAAGCCTCCACCTCCATGAACGTCAGTGTCTTTTTCTTTTTTAATTTATTTATCTTTAGAAGGGAAGGGAAGGAGAGAGGGAGAGAAATACCAATGTATGGTTGCTTCCTGTGTGTCCCCTGCTGGGAACTGGCCCCTGCTGGGAACTGGCCTGCAACCCAGGCATGTGCCCTGACAGGGAATTGAACCCGGATCTTTTGGTTCACAGGCCCGTGCTCAATCCACTGAGCTACACCAGCCAGGGCTCATGAATGTTAGTTTCTTATTATTTCCTTTTAATTTATTTGGACAGCCTCTTTGTAACCTCCAACTGGTGTCACTTCCTTAGACAGCTGCAATGTTAAACGATTGCTGGTAATTGAGTCACCGAACGTCTTGTGGATAGAGCATCAGCACGGAGTAAGTTCTGAGTTATGTCAATTAAAGATAACCCCTGAGAATGGAGCTTTTCAAGTAAGCTGCCAGGCAAATAGTCACACCTCTCTGGGGAAAGGACCTTGGCAGTAAGGCTGTTGATTTTCAAGGCTACGTATGTTCTCTAATGAAAGCTCATATAGACATAAATATATTGTGTTTAATAGCCCAAAAAGAAATTCTCATGTGGATTGGTTCAAGTCCCCCAAATCACAGTATTCGGCTCCTAATGACCTAATATAGATGATCTAAATCAGCTTACTGATTGCATAGAGGACTATCTAGGTCCACGTGTTTACCAGAATTCCCTGGGTTGTTAAATAGATCGCTTGCCTCACTTTCAGTTTTTGATTCAGTAGATTTGGCATGGGACCTGGGACTTTGCATTTCTAGCAAGTTCTGAGAAGATGTTATCACTGCTGGTTGGGGAACCCATGATGAAAGCTTCTAAAAGGGTGGAAATACTTTCTTCTATCATGTTGTGATGCCCAGCACCATATTCACTAATAAACTTGGCTCCCTTTTCTCTCCATGATGTTTACTCTACAACTGAAGCCCCATTTCTTGCCACATTAAAAATGGGATTAATCTTTTAAGATTGTACAGAATTACACAGCAGTCAAATGACAGGTGTTATTGGAAGCCTGATCTTCATGCAGTGTTTGTTACTGTGCTAACTCATTGGTGCAAATTAAACAGATGTCTATTTTTAAATGGTTGTAAACTTAAATTTGTTTCTTTTTAAAAAAACTAATGATTTAAAAACTCTTGATTAAAGCTAGCATGGCCATAAAATGTATCATCTGAACTTTTTTTAGAGCACTTTTGAGAGTGAAAGGGGCCCTACTAACACTTCAGCTGGATGAAAGGTGCCAGCTGGGGCTGTCTCAGGTAAACCAGGTGTACTGAGCACCCTTACGATAGAAAATAAAATATAAAAATATGTTTGCATCTCCACAAGCTTGTTTGCCTTTCTGACTTTAATTTTATACTGGGGCTGAAGTTCTGACAATATATATTTTTTATTTATCTAAAGAAATAAAAAAAATGTTTCTTTACTAATTTACTTTCCAGAGTAGAAATAAAGTAAAAAGTCAGAAAAGAAATTAAACTTTTAAAGATGATTTATATTTGCTTATTTTTATTCCAGATTATTATCTGCATTTGATTATTATCTGACTTGGGTGTGTCAGATATAATTATAAGTGAGATCAGAGAATTGTTTAATTTTTATTTCTTTTTAAAAAGTATTTAATTTTTTTAGAGAGAGGGGAAGGGAAGGAGAAAGAGTGGGAGAGAAACATCAATGTGTGGTTGCCTCTCGTGTGTCCCCTACTAGGAACCTGGCCTGCAACCCAGTCATGTGCCCTGACTAGGAATCGAACCAGCGACTCTTTGCTTCACAGGCCTGTGCTCAATCCGCTGAGCCACACCAGCCAGGGCTAACTTTTATTTCTAATAGGTTAATATCTTTCATTTTAAAGGCAAATTATAAATGCTTTAATACCTACAGGGTGTGAATGCTAAGAAGTATTCTGGTTTATTGAATTAAAATAGTTCATTTAAGAATACTTAAGGAGAAACATTTTTTTTCCTGATAATATGTAAAGACCTCAAGATAAAAATTTTTTTAATTTTAATTTACTTTTAGAGAGGTGAAGAAGGGGAGAAAGAGGGAGAGAAATATCAATGTATGGCTGTCTCTCATCAGTTCCCTACTGGGGACCTGGCCTGCAACCCAGGCATGTGCTCTGCCTAGGAATCAAACTGCATATCATTTGGTTTGCAGGCGGGGATTCAATCAACTGAACCACGGCAGCCAGGGGTCAAAATAAAATGTTTATATTCAGTCTAGTATTTATCCTTGCTCAAGCAGAAATATTAAGGTTTAAATTCTTCCAAATTTTCTGACCATTCTATTTTCCTGTAAAAAATAAAGCTTTGGGGGAGAGAGGTGTAGGGAACTAATATTTGGCGAGAGTCTATAAATGCATATTTACACAATGTAGTAACAGAAGTCTGGATGTTAACAGTTTGTCTTCTTTTTGCTTATCTGCGTTTTGGCAGTGAGATGTTAATTTTGCGTGTTTCTGGGTTAAATGTTGCGTTTCCTAACTTCTAGGGTAATCTGTACACTGACAGCGCGGTCACCCAGCCGGCAAACGGCGGAGCGTGTCCCGGCTCTCGGCTCTCCTGCGGAGCCTTCTACCTCGGGGACGCGCCGGGACCGCAGAAGCGTCAGCACGCTGGGTCGAGACGCCGCGGCCCAGGTAGGGGAAGAGGTCCCGAGACCCCTACTGGTGATGCAGTCCCAGCCCCTGGCGGGGTCTCGCGGGAAGCCAGGAATAGGACTCAGAAGTCGGTCTCGGGGCGGACCCGGTAGGGCGCATGCGCGGCGAGGGGCGGGGCTGGGCGGGGCTGGCGGGGCCTCGGCCTCCGGAGCTGCGGCTGTGGTCTGGGCTCGGGCGGCAGCGCGGGCGGTTCTTCGGTGGCTGGAGCAGGAGGACCAGCAGCACCTGGAGCCTGGACGGAGCTCGTGATTTGACGACCAGCAGCGGCGCTGCAGCTAACGGGCTTGGGCGCGCTATCCAGCGGACCGAAGACGGCAGGGCAGCCGGGCGCGGGCCCCGCGGGCCGGAGCGCGCCAGGTCCGTGGGCCAGCCGAGCAGGTGGGTCGGCTGGGAAGGGGGCTCGGCGACGCTGCGGAGCTCGGACCGGGAAGCCTCCCTCGGGGCGCAGCGCGCGCCCCAGCACCTGTGGGCGAGACTGGGACGGTGCCGCGGTTGTCATGGAAATTTGCTGCCTAGCGTCGCAGTCTAGGTCGTGTCTTCTGAGACCTGACCGACCCTGCGCACAGGGGCGAATGCAGACCTGGCGTCTCGCCGGTTGGGACCTGGACTCGGGACCGGTGCCCCGGCAGGCCAACGCCTGCCTGGTGCATCTCCAGGGTGGATCTGGTGACTCCAGATGTTGCAGGCCTCGCCGTGTTTCGGGTGTAAACATATCTGTTAAGAATAAACGTGGGAAATCTGCGACATATGCCTTCCATCTTCGAAACTCTGCCCTTCGCTGCAGGCCTCTAGCCCCCGACAGCGTTTGTGGCATCTTTGTTTTTTATAATTTGTTTATTCCTGCCTTTGCTAGTCAATGAATGGAGGCCTGAGACTTTTGCAGGGAGCTGTGCCCATCTCTTTAAAAGCCAGTCACGAATACGTAGACCATAAAAGATCGAAACACTCAAAATGTCAAAGGTGAATTCATGTCTTTGTCGACTCTGCTTTCCCTTCCCTGTGCGGTCTGCCCTCTGACTTTACATAATGGTGTGTTCCTCCTGCCTGAGTTGTCCGTAATGACAGATCATGGAAGTATTCCTCTGGGTAGGAAATAAGTATAAGGCAGCGGTAGAGCCCATCTTCTTGTGTTTTGCTTTGCTTCTGAATGTGTTTTGTGTTGGGAGGCTGCTTAAGAGGAGTGTTTGATTTGTTGCCTGCACCTCAGAGCAAGAGGAGGGGGTGGGGTGGCAATTTGAACGCCTGATTCTTCTCCATTCACAGTGGATTGTGTGGAGTGTAGGCGAGCCAGTGGGGTGGGGACGGGTAGGTAGGCTTACTGAGTATGAATCCTGGATCTGCCACTTGTTAACTTTTATTTTGAATTTTCTCATTTCTGAAGGATGAGAACAGAACCCCCTTTGCTGAGTGTTTTGGGATCTACCTGCTCTTGGCATAGGATAGCTGTAGGTTGGCCTAGAATGAAGCCTAATTTTTCTTTGGTTGAAAATAGCCTTTCTTTAAGAGGAATTGCCTTGGATTTAGGCTAGGGCCTTTCTTTTTGGGGGGTTCTTTGCAGAAATGTTTACTCCTAGGAGATTCAATTTATTGGTTTCTTTGACAAAAGATGAGTGATGGTGCCCACATGGGAAGGTCAGTGTGGTTGTCCTGTTGGTGGGTTGGTGTCAAAAGACCATGTCCTGTTGCAGGGGTGGTGTTGCATGTGAAAGGAACCCACAAAGCCTCATTCCCTGCTGTTCCTTGTAAACACACCTTCTTAATAAGCCAGAGTTACCAGGACAGTTTGCTCAGAAGACAGGCTTAAAAGAGTGGATGCTGGACAGATTCAAAGAGAAGAGAGGTTGGGATTTCTGCTGAGTTCAGTGACAGAATTAGTTACACTAATTCTATATAGTATGTACTTTACTTATCCAGTTTTTATTGGGCTTATGCATCTCAGAGTTTTTATCTGCTCATGTACAAGTCCTGCCTTCTAACTAGACTCAAATTCAAGGGTGGACATGATTTATGCCATTGTTTTGAAAACTGAATATTTGTCATAAGGTTATTAAACTGAATCTTAGGATTTAAAAAATCACTTTAAGGAAAAGACGATATAAAATAATGTACATGAGAATGTGTTGTAAACTATAAAGCACTAGAGAGGCAGGATATATGATGACAGAGAGAACTGTTGACCCTGAAATTCCCTTTAGCCAGCTGCCTACCTGGGACATTCTCCCCAGCCAGCAAATCTATACGTGCACCAGAAGAACGGAATGGAAAAGTGTGTGAGACCAACTGACCACTGATCTGTACTGAGCGACATTTAAGTTGTTTCCATTCTTCTGCTTTAAGAACAGTGGGGAGTCTGTGAACCGTGTCACTGTTAGCACTCACAAATACCTCAGTCTTCTAGATAACTAGAGATGGACTTTCTGGCTCAAAGAATAATTTTTTTGAAACTCTTGATATTTTATCACTCGTTATCATTTTTAAAACTTTATACACTTTTCTTTTTTGTTTTGTTTTTAAAATTTTTATTTTTATCATTTAATTTTTATTTTTCAAGTACAGTTTTCTGTCTATTTCTCCCATTCCAGCCCACCCCTCCCCCATGCACCCCACCTCCCTCCCATTTTCACCCCCCTTAGTTATTGTCCCTGTGTCCTTTATACTTGTTCCTCTAAATCCCTCCCATTTTTTCCCCTTGAATTCCCTCCCCTCTCCCCTCTGGTCGCTGTCCCCCTGTTCTCTATTTCAGTGTATTTGTTTTTATTTTGCTTGTTTGTCTGTTTTGTTGTTTAGCTTCCTGTTAAAGGTGAGATCATATGGTATTTGTCTTTCAACACCTGGCTTATTTCACTCAGCATAATGCTTTCCAGTTCCATCCTCAAAGAATAATTTTAAACTGATAGTTTTGCCGAATTGCTCCCCACTTGTAAGAGGCTTTATCAGTTTGTTTTTGGTCTCAAAAACTCCGAGATCACATTCTTCTGTTGGTATGTGAAATTGCCTTTTCCCCTTTAACTAGGCCAACACTGAAGGGTATAAATCTTGCTAATTTTTGCAAATCTAATGGATAAAGAAGACATTATTTCAGTTACATTTTCCAACTTACCAAATATATTGAAAACCTTATTTTGCTAGTTTATGTTTGTGCTTCTGTGATTTAACAATGCAGAGCTTTGCCTGTTTTTTTTTTTTTCTTATTAGGTTGTTTTCTTTATCATTTTGGATCATGGAAGTTATTATAAATTCAGACTTTATTGTAGGCAACCTTAGAAGTCTCCTAGGTCCTTGATGGAAATGCTGATACAGTAAGGCTCCAGTCCTGTGAGATCATAAATGTCCTCATTGTTTACTTGGCAGCCAAAAGGATCCACTGGCACACCCTGCAATCCAGGGAGACCCTTGAACTGGGCATCCTTGTTTCCCCAGAGGACTGTGTTCCCCAGAAACACCCACCTACCTAACTGTATTTTCTTTATACCTCCCGACTTGGTACCCCTGGGTCATTCTTCTTAAACATCTGAACTCATAACTTAGAGAAGAGACCATGTGAAATGCCAGTAACACAGGAGAGGGAAGAAATGACCAGAATGAGTTAATTTAATCAGCTCCTGTAACAGCAGCGACACCAGCTGTTGCAGGACTAGGGTGGAGGTGTGGGGACAAGGAACAGGAAGAGAGACAGGGGGTTTCGGAGGCCTCACGGTCCCAGCTAGTAAGTACAGCAAGTGGGTTGTGCAGGCATTCCAAGTCAGGGGCATGAGCAGGGCTCGGACAGAATCCCAGAAGTAGAGGAGGTGAACACTTCCCTCCTGTTGGAGTCCGGAGGACGCACTTCTGCCTTCCTGACCCTACTCCAGAAAATGGACACCTCATTTTATCACCCTAGCATGACCCTCCCCCACTGGATGCTTCCTGCTTCTGAGGCCTTCGCCAAGTGGACCTCACTGAACAGACTTCAGGTCGAAAGCCCTGCAGTGTCTCGCCTGACCCAGGTTGGGGAGCACGGGCAAACACCAGAGGCCATTTGGGCTGGCAGGCACAGACCAGGCGTGAGCAGGTGTGTGCAGAGAGCAGACACGGCACCCTGGAGCTCTGGTTTCCCACTCGTCAGCCAGGTTATGGCAAAAGGGATGGTTAAGAGATTATTCCCACAGCCCTAGGTGGTGTGGCTCATTCGGTTGGGCCTCCTCCCACAAAGCGAAAGGTTGCCGGGTCGATCCCCAGTCAGGGCACATGCCTGGGTTGCGGGCCGGGTCTCCAGTGGGGACATGGTAAGAAGCAATCGATGGATGTTTCCCTCTCACACCCAGATGTTTCTCTCCCTCCATTCCCCTCTCTCTAAAAATAAAATAAAATCTTGGAAAAAAAAAAAGAAACTAAACCCACAGGGAAAAGGCTCATCTAGCTCCACACTGCCTGAACTCATCATAACAGCTGACGTCCCTCAGTGCTCAGCAGGTACCAGGGGTCACTCCAAGCACTTGACATGTATTCATTCATTTTACCCCCTAACAAGACCCTGGAGTTGCTACCGTTATCAGTCTAGTTTGCAATGAGAAAACCAAGGTAGAGAAAGATTAAGCTACTTGCCCAAACTCACACAGCTAATTGGAGGTTCTCAGGGAACTCAGCTGCAAAGTTCGCAGTAGTTTCAGGATTTAAATAAATAATTCTAAAAGACTAGTATACTGAAAAAACAGGACTGAGTAAAAAAAATCCTAATAAATCAAAATACTGAAATAGAAATTATTGATATTGGGGACTCCAAGTGATTAATTTTTACTGATACATGAAGTACAGCATTTATTTATTTATTTATTTTCAGAGATAGAGGGGAAGGGAGGGAGAAAGAGAGGAAGAAAAACATAGATCAGTTGTCTCTTGAGTGCCCCCTACTGGGGACCTGGCCCGCCACCCAGGCATGTGCCCTGACTGGGAATCGACCCCACAGCCTTTTGCTTTGCAGGACAGGATGATGCCCAACCCACTGAGTTCTGCTGGTTAGGGCATGGCATTTATTTTAAAGTCCTGTAAAGGCAGCCATGTGATTTCATGTAAATGGCACTAAATCCAGACACACTTAGGTTTGAATGCCAGTCCAACCTCTTACAACCACCCTCAGGTAGGTGCCTTAACCACTCCTCACCTTTGCTTCCTCAGTGCACCCACTCCACTCCCACAGGGTCTCCTCAGACAAGGTACATGAAGACTGTGGGGACTGGGATGCAGGCGGTGCTCAGAAAACGTTAGGCTCCTTCTCCTTTAGGATGAAAACACATCACGCACATCTTCTCTCTCTGCTTGCCAACCAACCATCACTGCCTCCTCACGATTATGAGGTGGTCCTCGGAGTCAGTGGGACTGTGTGCTGCTTCCCGGCTCCT